TTTTAATGTTAGGTTTTTCACAGATTTGTTGTGAGCAGTTTCTTGTACAAACTCTTTTTCTTCTTCCAGAAGTTCCACCAGTACCTCCAGTAGTAGTAAATATTAGACAAGGATTTTTTTAAACTATAGTTTTTATTTTTATTAGCAATTTTACTGGGCATGTGTGTTTGTTTGCTTGGTTTTTAATAGGCAGAGCATGGAATGTCAACTTTGTTTCTACAAACAAATTTAATTATTCACAAACACCTCTAATTTAGTCCTTCTTTCCCCCTTTTAGTCTTATTCCTTGGACTCGGAGGGTCGAGTGGTCATGGGACCTCACCTGGATTTCACAACAGACTTTGGATCTGGTCTGAAACTGAAGTATGCTGAAGATGCCTTTTGCACTCTGGAATTTAAGGTAATGTCTACAATAAATATTGTAACTGAGGGCTTGTTTTGGGGGGAGGGGGGTTAAACAAGGAATGTATAGGAGCACAAGTCATGACTCCCCTTGTCCCCTTGTTATAAAGGGCTGTGTTGCAGACACAATTTGTTTGTCTGTGCTGGAGACCAGAGGGGAAGCTGTCTTTAAAAGGATGGGGCTCTTATATCATATGTGAAGTTACCTATTCAGGTGAGTGGATTACATGCAAGTCATTGCAAATGCATAAATAGTGGGAAATTTTTACTGGGCAGCACAAATTAAGTGAAACTCAAAAAACGTTGAAAAATATTTGGAATATTTGCAAAAAACTTGATTGAAATGAATACAACACAAGTGCTGTATCACTTCAATCAAGTTTTTTTTGCAAAATCTTCCTAATATTTAAATCATGAAAAATTAGCTTGATGCAAGAAACATCCTACTAGTATTCAAGAGCAAGTACTGTAATGCATGTGTTAACTTTGCAATAAGTGTGAACCCAGCATTAGATTATAGTCTGTAAACAGAATGTGTAAATCAAATCAACTGTTTTAAAATGCTCTGCCTAGGTCATTAAAACCACTATTTGTTGTTGGACTGTTCTTTATTTTGTGTTTGTGATGGAAATGTTTTTCAGATGTTTTTGTTTAAATGATTGCAGTTTGACTGAGCTACAGTATTGTCAGCATGTTCAAACTGAGCTAACAGTAATTTTGCTCTCTAGTGCAGCAGTAGTGTCCCAGTAGTGTTGTATGAAGCTAACTGTTTGTCTGCCCTTTTGCTTATAGGTGCTTTTTGGGCACCAGTTTGGAGATGGAAGACAGACGAAGTCAAAGAAGCAGAGAAGACACATCAACCAGCAAGTGTGTAAAATTATCAGGAAAAAGATTGACCTTGAATAGACGACTGCCTAATTTAGCAAGAAGTTTTTTCTCTTTCTCTCATGTTTGTATGTATGTATGTATATATATATATATATATATATATATATATATATATATATATATATATATATATATATATAATGAGAGAGAGAGAGAGCGCACTCTGAAGCACTGCTTTTTATATGTATGCTACATATGATGTCAGATTTTTTTATTAATATGTTCTTATAGTATTTTTTGAGGCTTCACCTTTTGAAAGTTTTCTGAAATGTTTACACAGATGTCATTAAGCTGTTAAATAAATCTGTAAAATGTATGTGTGTTTGTTTTTATTTTGATTTTAGAGTCTTTTCAGATCACCCAAAAATGAAGATTCTGTCGTCATTTACGCATCCTCAGGTTGTTTGGACACAAAGAGGAAAATTTGATATTTTTATTCCTGTGTTTAACAAAAAAAAATCAATTTTAACAGAGCTGGAACAACCTGAGGGTGAGTAAATCAAGATAAAATTTTCATTTTTGTGTGACCTAAAATTGCTTTGAAATTTTACAGCACCAAACTGTTAAATTACAGTAATCTGGTATATAACTGTAACTTTACAGTTAAATCAGGTATTTAAACTGCAACCTACTGCTAAATCACAGTAATCGTTTTGCAAATTCACAGTAAAATATAGTTAATTCCACAAGATAATACTGTGAAATTACAGTAACGGACTTTATTATCTACTGTAAAGTTACAATATATGGTTGTAATTTCACAATAATTTAATGTGACAAAACCACAGTAAATTACTGTGAACTACCTCACAATAATTTACTGTGAATTTACATACAGTAATTTACTGTGAAAGTAATGCAATTATTAGCCAGTAATTTACTGTGAATTTAAGGTCAAATTTTTTACAGTGTAGGCTCAGAAGGCTGGTATCATCCATCCACATAGTTAATCAGCCCTAGATCACATACGGCTGCGGCCTGGAGGTTAAGAAGAAATATTTATATTACTTATTAAATTTCCCATTTATTGTATTTTATTACATCTACACTATCAACCAACCCTAAACCCAACCATCACAGTAATGTAAAAAAAGATCTGGGCTGCGTTTCCCGATAACGATTGATCTTAGCACTTAAGAGCGTTTTCTACGAGTCATTTTGCGAACGTTCGTTATTGTTTCACGTGCGTTTCCCAAAAATGCACTTAACACAATTGCACGTAGCCCAGCTTTAAGTGCAACTTAGGAGTCGCTATCCGTTTGTTAAGTGCTGAAATGTCACGCTATAGAATGGCTCGTTATTGTTGCACATGTTATAGCAATCCATATAATTCTTCTTCTACTTGTGTGAATGTATATTCAACTCGAATAACATAAAAAAAAATATTTTTGAGCCAGTTTAAAAACATAAATTAACTGGAAATGTCGTACTGTAAAAACACCGTCTTGCTCCAATCTCGCATAAAACTAATTCTAACAGTCCTTGCCGGAAATGACATCAGCATCATTTTCGATATTTATATGAAACCTTAATTAAGTAGTATTATTTATCAATTTCTTTATCAAAAATTGCTTATCTCACATCAAAATAAATAAATAAGTAAATAAATAAATAAATAAATAAGCTCTTACATTTATTTTTGAAAAGTTTAGCCTAATTATTAATTATTATTATTTGTATATTGAATTGTGTAATGTGTAGAAAATATAAATGAATAGAGATATACGTACAAATAAAATGAATAATGACTTTGAAGAGAAGTAAATTGTAGGTGCAATTTGCCGGTTGTCCAGCAGGTGCCCTCAAAACTCTGTCTCCTTACGATGCACTTAAGGCTTTACGATTACTCCAGAGCACTCGTAGATCCACGAAGATTTTCAAGTGCTACTTAAGTTACGATGCTTTTGGGAAACAGACCGTAATATTAAGATCAGTCGTACGATCATTTCTACGAACTTCTTAGGCTTACGATGCTTTTGGGAAACGCAGCCCTGGTGTCTTCTCTATTAGTATAGCTGATTAACGAAGAAAACTATTTAAATTATTTATAATATTTCCTATTATTGTACTGAATCGCTGAACTATGTGCGTAAAAATGGAGCTTGCAACTCTAGTTGACTAATGATGCTTTTGGGAAACGCACCCCTAGACAGTGATGAGCATGTCCTCCAGACACCCTAGCACACAACCTATAACCACAAAAAAGAACAGCACAGCTTCAGATGGCAAAGAGAAAATAAGTTCATGAAGCAAATACATATCACCCTTTGGCCATGTTGTTATATATACATGTTGTGTATATATATATATGCCCCAAGAAACCTCAAAAATATCGAGTGACTAATGGCAACTAATAGTCGCTACCAAGTGCTTACTTGATGTTTGTTTGTGTGTGTGTGTGTGTGTGTGTGTGTGTGTGTGTGTGTGTGTGTGTGTGTGTGTGCTTGTGTAGGGGTCAAGATTGAGTCCACTTAAGGACCCCTTTGACATTTCCAGACTCAGCTGTGCTAGTACTGATTTATTTTGAAAATGCACGCTTTATACAATGTATAGTGGATACAGAACCCAGCATCTATGAGGCTATGGAATATAGAATATTTTGACAATAATAAATATTTGCTGAACATTAAGGCCTCTCTTAAAAGGGACCAGAATCCCTTATTCACATATTATTAATAAACTCTCTCTCAGGGCTATACACGCGCGCACACACTTACGCGCGCGCGTGCGCACACACACACAGAGAGAGAGAGAGAGAGAGAGATCTTACTTTTTTTTTAATTCAGCGTACATAATTGTACTCTATGATTATTAATAGATTATTAAGTTTATATTTATACTCTTTCCTACCCTTGCACTGAGTCAGTTTTTTTTCAACCAGCTATACCTAGGCAACATTTCTACTTTAAATCCATTTTTGTGTCTCATTCATTGAAATAAATATATTCTTACAACATTATATTATATTATATTATATTATATTATATTATATTATATTATTAATTCATTCATTTTCTTTTTGGCATAGTCCTATAATATTAACCCAGGGTCGCCACAGCGAAATAAACCACCAACTTATCCAGCACGATTTTACGCAGCGGATGCCCTTCCAGCCGCAACCCATCTCTGGGAAACATCCACACACTCATACACTTCGGACAATTTAGCTTACCCAGTTCACCTGTACCGAATGCCTTTGGACTGTGGGGGAAAACGGAGCACCCGGAGGAAACCCACGCGAACGCAGGGAGATGCAAATTTCACACAGAATCGCCAACTGAGCACGAACCAGCGACCTTCTTGCAGAGAGGCGACAGCACTACCTACTGCGCCCTGCGTCGCCTACATTATGTTATATAATATTATTGACAATCGTATTATAAAGAAGCACAATTTTGAACTCCCCATATAAAACCAACGATGAAACAATTAGAACGAAATATTGACATTTATTGTTGTTGTTTTCATCAACTGAAATCTACTATTATTGTATCAATATCATTGTAGTGATTTTGTTATTTCGCACTGTTTATTCGGGATAACATAGTCTTGTATTTAAACATTAAGCCTAATTAGTGGTTCGACAGATGATGCTGAAATCCAGCCCACAGATTCACAGAGTTAAACCCCTCCCAGCCTACCCAACCAAAAAAAAAAAAAAAGATACTGTATTGCTTAAATTGATTTAAAACATATTTTAAACACAGTTCAAACTCATGCCATTACGTTTTAATTTTCCTATGAACTGAAGTAGCCTACAACTGAAAAAAGAACACAAATAATTCACTAAAATGTATTATTTTCATACATGTACAGTTTATACAGTGCTCGATGAATAAAACGTGTCAAAATGGATATGTACAACTTAAAAAAATAACAGTGCTTATATTTAACCTTATTACATTAGGCAAATATTGCCTATAAAGCAGTCTTAACTCTGGCTATAACTGTAGCCTAAAAATAATTTTTAAACAGAATAAATAAGTTGCGCTTTAGGGTTTAAAAGTGCCTTCATTTCGCGTGCTTCTGGTTTTCACCCCTTATGGCAAAATGAAAATGTTTGAAGACAAAAAAAAAAAAAAAAAGTTCATTCAAACGATACAAATTATTTAACAACAATACCAACTTTTGAGCGTTACACTGATCTTTGCATCTCCGTGTATGGAAGTTATCCGCCAGCAGAGTTTGTACCGAGCTGATAGAAATGAGTTAATCTGGCATTTTTTTTTCCGGCCTTAAAATTGAAAGTCTTGCATATACTCAAAGTAGGGAATCTGAGTTATTGAAGTGCTCTTTTAATGAGTTTGTTATTTTCTAACACTGCGCTTATACTGTTCTACTCTCAAGTCAATTTGTAATTTCATGTCCAGTTCCAACAGAGACACTTTACAGACCACCTTATCGTTCATTTGGGTCTATTTAATACGATTGCTCGTCGTTGCACAGTCACATCACACAAGGTTTGATGTCCTGATAAGAGACCTGTTGATGGTGGTAGTACGAGCTGCTCCCTGGTGAATGCATCGATGAAGAGGTCATGGCGTTAAAAGAAAAGACAAATTCTTTCCTGTCACACATGCTGGGAGATTGGGTATGATAGCGCGGTATACCTGCGGAGTACAAAATAAAGCACTGCATTACTACAAAACTAGATACAATTGACCCTATTTTAACAGGTTTTGAAAGTTTTAGTTGGTAGTTTAAGGGCTTAATTAAGAAATTGAATTTCCTGTGGCTGTAAGTTCGGGTTGTCCTATTTCTTGTAGTGTTCTTATGAAACGTTTTATTCTTCTTCTTCCCCCTCTTCTTCTTATTCATACGCCTATTATTATTATTATTATTATTATTATTATTATTAGTAGTAGTAGTAGTAGTAGTAGTAGTAGTATATGTATTTGTGTTATTATTACTTTATTATTAGTAGTAATAATAGTATGTTTATGTTAATTAATTTATACTACTAACATGAACTAGAATGAACAACAATTGAACATAATTTATTAATGCATTATTAAAAGCATGCTTGTTAATATTAGTTAATGCGCAGTTAAGTTTACCAATGATTAACAATGAACGACTGTATTTTCATTAACATTCATAAGGTTAAAGAAGATGAATTAATAATGTAATAAATGTTCTGTTCATAGTTTGTTCATGTTAGTAATACATTAAGCAATCAACTAATTAACCTTATTGTAAAGTGTTACCCATAATGATAAGAAATTGTTTCTGGGATACTGTTCACCTATTACATTTAGTTTTACGTTTACTCTAAAAAAATGTTCGGTTGTTGTAACCCATTTACTAATGTTTTCTGTATCTCGTAAAATATTTGAAGTATTTCTTTGATTTTATTTAAATAAACTAACCAATTTTTCTTCTTCTTCTCCTTATTATTATTATTAATATGATTATTAATTATTATTAATATTATTATTATTATTATTATACAAAATTACATGACTATCGCCTGAATTCAATAACCGGGTAGGCCGTATATTTTGTCCAACGTTTAAGAGCAAACAAACAAACAAGCAAACAAGCAAGCAAGCAAACAAACGAACAAACATAAACGTTTAGGCCTATATAAGTCCTTAGAAAATGATCAAAAATACGTTCGTTACTATACACTTTTTTTTGGTATAACGTTATAGTACATAAAGCTAAATAATTCTGCAAATTGGAATTCACTGAAGGTTGGAAGTACAAAGCAGGAGCCTTAAGATCTGGGCGTTTTAAATAACGGTAAAATTGCTTGCACGCAAATCCCTACGGACATATGTTGCCGCGGGGCTCGTGGTGTGGCTCCTTGTGGTCTTACCCCTGTGGCGGCTACAGCAATCAGGCAGCAATCACTTCTAATTTTAAATGTGCTGAATGATGTAAATATATGTCTAGAAGTTCATTTTTGTATTTGTAAGTAGTGTTAAGGCACCCGTGAAATAATCAAGAAAATAAGGCAATAGACTAAACAACTTTTAATTTATTTAGGCCTAATCTAGGCACAATTGAAATTGATGTGCCAATGTTAACTGTGTAAAAATTAAATGTAGCGATTCTGTATCAGCCAGTTAAACATGTAGATAAACAGGTAAACAGAATATTTATTCATTCATTTTTCATTTATTTCCTTGTCGGCTTAGTCCCTTTATTAATCCGGGTCGCCACAGCGGAATGAACCGCCTAAACAGAATATAAATACTTTATAATACTTTTTGAACGTTAATTATATATATATATATATATATATATATATATATATATATATATATATATATATATATATATATATATATAATTGTTATTTTAAAATTATTTTCCATTATATCAGCGTCAAATGTTCTTAAAAACTTTACCTTGGAGGTCGGTGGTACCGTGACCGTTCTGATGCAAATAGGACTGTTCCAAAGAGTGTGTTGGTAAACTGGGCTGCAATGAACTGGCACCGGGATTGCACGGAGAGAGCGGTTGCTGTTTAATGTAGGACGTCCCGTTATTTAGAGATGTCGGGGGCGCTGAAGGCCAGGCCGAGGCCGTGCTAGAATACACGGCATGCGGGTCCATCACCCCCCCGCTGGTGAGAAGCGGCGATGCGGAACTGTCGTGGTGGGGGTACTCCGTCCCTGATGATCCCGTGCAACTGCCCATATAGGAATGTCCACTATTCGTTGATAGATGGGGCATAGAGTGTCCTGCCAAGCCCATTCCTTCCATATTGCTAGCCAAATGTCCATTCATCATCCCAATTCCACTCTCCAAAGATAAACTGTTTGGAGGACAAGACAGGCCCCCGCCGCCCCCCTGAAAGTTATAGGACTCGGGTATGTGATTGAATCCCAGCCCGTTCATCATGCTGTACATGGAAGGTTTGAGCGCCTGGCATTTGCGTCTGAATCCCCGCGGCCTCCTGCGGAAGGATCCCTCCTCAAACATGAACTCACTGGCTGGGTCGATGGTCCAGTAGTGACCCTTTCCAGGTCTGCCTAGACCCTTGGGTAGCTTGATGAAGCATTCATTCAGAGACAGATTGTGACGCACAGAGTTTTTCCAGCCCTGATACGATCCTCTAAAAAATGGGAAGCGGCTCTGGAGGAACTGATAAATTTCGCTTAAAGTGAGTCGTTTGGTTGGAGAGCTCTGGATGGCCATGACAATAAGAGCGATGTAAGAATACGGGGGCTTTTCGGGACGACGAATTCCAGCGTTGGTCTTTTTTGCTTTCGTGCTTGAGGAGGAAGAGGAGGTCTCCATCACAGGCGTCTGGACGGGTTTCTCCGTCATGGGGCTACTGTGAGCGGGGGTCTGCACAGAGGGTTGCTGCACTTCAGCCGTCATTCTTCACGTTTACGCGCACGTCAAAATCCACGATGAAAAAAAAACTTAAGTTTCTAAACTTTTATCATTAGAAACGGACTGCGCTGCTTTAAGTTCTTTCTTTGTACGTAATTTCACACTGGCCTACTGTCTAAGCACTACTCAACATAAAACTGAACACAGCAGGGAAAAGATTCATTCGGCTTCCTATCGAGATCCAGTCTTCTTGTCCTTCCTTTAGGAGTTGGGCTTTTACTTATCTGTTTCCATCAGTTCCTCTCAGGCTCTTGAGCATGGGCATGGCAGAGTCGCGCAGGGGCCGCCCAGTGTCCCTCCCACTGTCAGCTATTCTAAAGTGGGCTTCACCAAAATCAGTATAACTAGACCACTATTTAAAAACCCGCGTTTATGGACTTTTTATTGTAATTAGTGCATTCCGTGCATATTAGCATTACACATTTTTTTCGGATAATATAAATTAATTTTAGCTTACAAAATTAGTCTACTTGTATTGGCAAAATGCAACTGGATAGCCTCATTACTTTTATTGGCTTGTAATTTAAACAAATGGGATGAATAAGATTAATTAATTTAATATGTAGCTTACCTTTCCACCTTTATTACTTTAAAGCGTTCTTAAATTGTTAAACAGACTAAACAATAAAGTTTTTGAGAGGTTTCGTCAACAAAAAAGGAATATATATATATATATATATATATATATATATATATATATATATATATATATATATATATATATATATATATATAATACTCCTTTAGATGATAAGCGTGTTTCTTTTTCAGATAGACATGAGCAGGATGTTTATTCTACAGAATGTAAACATTTCCCCTGAGCTTCTTTAAATCAGAAATCAAACAAAAAGCCTTGCTAGTGGAGCTAATTCACAGAGAGTCACGTCGTCATACTGAATTTTACACTTACATTTAGATTCTTGATCCGATTAAAATGATTTACATTTGAAGAATGGGAGTTTCGAGGTTGTGTCGCGTTCATGGAAACTAATTTGAAGACTGCTGTCATTCAGCTGTACCACTTTATCAAGGCAAGTTTGATTCAAGTATTTTACGTTCGGAGTTTTTGCTTTGCTAAAGTCAAATAGAACAGCTCAGACATGGATTGTTTCAAAGTTGTCAAATTTATTGACAGGACAGTAAAATTCGTCGTTGTAACGCATACACTTAATATGGATCACACACACTTGTCCAGTGTTCTGGGCTATTGATGTTGAAATACTGTTTTTCATCACTTTCTACCTTCCGTGTCTAAAAGCATGTATTACATTTCGTTCTAATGTAAGATGAATTGTCATGCTCTGTGCAGAACTGTTTGAGTGTGCACGCACATCGACCAGCGCGTATAGCCTTAATTTTAAAACTAACACTTAGCCTATATTTAATTAGGCTATAAAACTTAACTGTATAGTTAATTTAAAAACTAACACATTTGCTATATATATACTTATATATGAAATTTAGATGTTAATTTTACTCATTCAATACTTTATTTTTCCGGCGTATAATAATAATAACAATAATAATAATAATAATAATAATAATAATAATAATAATAAAAATCACCACCAACAACAATAAAACTATCAACAATCGAGGGTATCTTTTCGTTATTAATACCTAATGAATGTTTGGTTCATGTGAATAAATACATATTGACATAGGTAGCCTAAGGGTTGGAAAGATACCGACATTTATCCGATAGGGACCACCCAACGTGCTCGAAATCTGCATTTATTAAGGTTAATGACTTCGTTTGTTGAATGTATCTAGTTAAACCTTCTTTACTGTTGCCGCCTATTCACTCTCACATTTTTAAAAGTTTTCAGAATAATGTTGTTTTCATGAATTGTGACGTAAAGCATTACAAAGTTCTTCAACGTCATCGCAGACTGGTGTGATCTATGCAGTAGCGTTAACTGTATAGACTTTCACTTTCATTATACGCAAAACAAATAGGCATAGCAGTTTTCATCTCACATTAAAATTTCCAAAAACCGTTAGACAAAAATCTGATTTAATTAAAATGCAGCTGCAGAAACAACAACAACAACAACAACACTTTTGGCTATAGTACTTCTTCTTCTTATTATTATTATTAGCATTGTTTGTTGTCATTATTATTAACATATGATGATGATAGCCAATACTCTTCTTCTTATTATTATTATTATTACAACAACAAATAACAACAATAGCCAGCATTGTTGTTGTTATTATTAATATAATAATAATAATTATTATTATAATAACAACAAAAACAATAACATAAACAATAATAACTAATATTATTGTTGTTGTTGTTGTTGTTGTTGTTATTATTGTTATTATTATTATTGCTGTTTTTATGTCTTGTTAATGACCATTGTTATTATTGCTATATGTGTTGTCAATGATAATAACAAAAATAACATCAATAATAAATATGATGATGATAATAATAATAATAATAATAATAATAATAATAATAATAATAATAATAATAATAAACATAATAATAATAACAAAAATAATGTAGATTTCGTAGTGTCGTTTTGTCACAGTAGGCTAAATGTTCCGAATTTCCATGACGTCCGTCATACACGGACACTTAGAAAAAAAGAGGAAAGCTGCATTGTTCTACTAGTCACGTTAGTGTGACATAACTCATTATTAAGACACTGGAATTGCAGAATCGGTTTTTAGCAACTAGATCAGTAAGAACTGCTAAAAACATTTCCCATTTCCAATTTATTTATTTTTTCTCGGTCTTAACATTGAATCTTAAATGCACATATAACAATTAAATATTTCATTTAAATTAAGAGTCAATCCAACCACTTTTATAGATTTTGTACAAAAAAATGGCATATTATGATCTAAGTCATTTTTAAAAAGGTAAAGACTTTTAAGTAAGTCACATGAAATATGTTCTGCGGTTATTTTTTTTAAGAATAAGATAAAACTGTTGCTAATATATTACCCAACACTGCCCAAACATGTGTACTGCCAGTTTATGATTTTTTTTTTTTTTTGTGCTCTGTTAATTGTGTAACAAAGTGAACTCGGGAGGTTTAATTAAAAGCTGGACAGACATTGTTTGAAAGGAAACTTGTCAGACGAATCAGTCAAGGATGGCTTGCAGTTCCAAAAGTTCACTGCCGTGTGTCACCTCCATAGTATCGTTTTATAAATTCTTATACGTTCTTTTATCATCAACTATTTCTGATTTTATTTGCGATGAGCATAACAATATAGCATATTATTAACAATAATAATAATAATAATAACAATAATATATATATATATATATATATATATATATATATATATATATATATATATAATATTATTAGTCTCTTATTATTATTAAACAGTGTTTTTGTCTTATTTATAGTTGCGTCAATAGGAAACAATGTGATTACACATACAACTAGCGCTGCATTCATTAATTTTAAGCGCAGATTGCTGTTACATTTACTAGGAGTTATTATTAAAGGTTTTTAATTTTTTTTAATGTATAACCGCTGCAGTTTGCTAAGACAGGTGTCTGTTTCAAAGTCTCAACGTCAGCTTGCATCAGGCCTAATCATAATCATATAAAAGATGGGACTTAATAAGCTTTTCTTTTTATTTCACTGGCATCATAAACTAATAAGAAGTAAATACTCTATGTTTATTTGTTAATTAAGTTCATTATTTTCAGTCAGATAATCACAGAATTAATAAACCTTTATCTTCAAGAGATTTAGACGTTTGATATTGCAGTTCATAACAATAACGCATAACAATACATTCTGATTGGGGTCGGTTGTCCTAGTTGTGGTTTGACCGACATGAACGGTAACAGTGTTGCATATTTTTACACATTAGAATCTGAAATTAACATGTCAATGTCAAGTTCCATATGTAGTTTTGGTTATTAAAATAAATAAAATGAAAATACAGTTCAATAAAAGAGTAGATGTTGCTTAATCTCCAGTGAAATTAACTTTTGTTTTAATGTAGCTGTTTCTATTAAACATTTTAATATAAAAATGTTATGATAAATACACTGAAGACATTGAACAATACATTGCTGTTGTACATATTTGTCAGAACAAAGATAGTGGTCCTGCATGTGAAGACACATAATATTTGATGTCATGTTCATTGGATTATTGCTTTTTGATTATTATTAGATACTTAATTAAATAACTTTAATGATAATATGTATAGCTTAGAGAATATTTCTTAATAGTTCAATAATATTGTTTAGCCCATTTACGATTATAAAAACAAAAGAAAAAGAGGTTCCTTATATTTCTGAAAGTCACAAGGGTCAATGCTTATATGGTTCTTTATGGTAAGCAGGATCATCAGTGGCATTTACTTGTGTCTGAATTATTTTCTGTACACTAGTGATGGAGTAACTTAAAGGAATGACCATATTGTCGCAACTTATCTTCCAGCTAGAATAAAACCACTGTGAAATCTGCATTTTCTATTGCACACACCACTCTGAGCCAGTGGTGGTACAATCTGGACTGCTGTGGATCAGGCATCTGTGAAGCTGAACACATGGCAGTTGGCAGTCTTGCGACTAGCTTTGGGCATTTTTTTTCTTTCAAAGGCTCCTGGAATAAAACATAAACCTATCCTTAGCAGCACACTGCACATCATTTAGAAAAACTTCAGACATGTGTCTGACCAGACAGAGAAGACTTTAAAGAGAAACGAAAAAAAGCCCACCCAGCATTTTGGTGCAAGCTGGACTCGTTTGTACAGGAGTGATTTGAGTTTGATGAGAGCATATGGGGGAATCAGCTTGCATGCGTTTTTGTATTTATATAATCTGATGGCTTGTTCTTTCTCCCCTTTTTTCTCTGTTGAGGGGGATTTTCTTGGGTTAGAAAGTATGTGTGAGGTCCAGTTCCAAATGAGCAATTAAAAATTCCTAAACAACAATGGAAATTGTAAGACAAGCCAGTGTACAAGTGAACTGTTTTTTGACCCACTTTAATTCAGTTATTTGGAGAGCCAAACCATCTACAGACCAACAACAACTGAAACCAATACAATTATTAGCTTTCTTTCTTTCTTTCTTTCTTTCTTTCTTTCTTTCTTTCTTTCTTTCTTTCTTTCTTTCTTTCTTTCTTTCTTTCCAGGTATGTTTGGCATTTCACAATATAATAGTTACAGTAAGTAGACACTAATATTTTTGCGGGGCACATCCCTATGCTCTGTGGGAACTGATAGCTGATTGG